GGGCTCGGGGGCAGCGGCTGTGTTACGGCTTTTGCCAGGCCGGCCGATGAAGCGCCCTGTAACCCTGAGCGTGCGCCCACGCGGGACGTAGCAGCGAAACGGTGCAGCCGGCTGGCACGTGGCGTTTTTCTTTGAGTAGAGAGAAAAGGGGTATTGTGTTAAACTCGCCCTCTCCCCCTGGTGAGGTATCAATTCTTCTTCCCAGGCAGGTGAAACCATTGATGCTTTGCTCAAATGTACACCTAAAAAATGGTCCCTGGTCAGCTTAGGTGGAACGTGTCTCTATCTGATGTGTTTCCAGAAGACTAGACTTTGATGTGCAAAAGTTTCAAGAGAGGGGAAGCAACGGGGGCTGGGGACTCTTCCCAAACCTCCTTGCTGCGATGGTAACCCTGCCTTAATCAAGCCGGCTTTTGGGAAAGGCCAAGCATGTGCAGGGGAAGGGTGGGGGATAGGGGCCCTTTGTTGGCACGGTGCTATTTTAGCTCATTGCTGTTTTTAAGGGTGTGCTCTTCCACTTATTCAAGGCTGGCGATTGGCAGGAGATTGCAGGGAGTCTGGAAGGGATGGGAGCGCGGGGGCCTGGCCCTGCCACCAGCCCACCTCTCCCTCCTGTCCCCGGCTCGGCACAAACTTCCCCGGCCCCGAAGCAAGTTCCTTACTTTCTCCCTGCTGTGCCGGATTTACTCCCCCTGCTTCCTTTGCCTTTGGATGAGTGCTGTCCCAGGCCCAGATATATGTTGAGGCCTAATTAACGCTTGTGAAATAATGCCTTTTGTTCCTCCAGGACTTAACTGTAGTACACCGAGGGCTGGATGATTAATGTCAAGTTGCATGCGTCTTTCAAGGCCTGGCAATTTCTGCCGAGTTGGCAAGCGCTTGAAAGAGCTGCCAGTGGTGAGACTTGAAAGAGGATTTTTTTTTTTTTTTTTTGAGGTGCTTTTGAGGTCCCAGGTCTCAAAGCCCAGGAGCGGGGAGAGATGTGAGGAGGCTCCGCTTTACACAGCCACCAGTCCTCGCGCGCTGAAACCAAACAGGGCTAATTCAGAGGGAATCGTGTTTCCCGGCAAGCGGCCAGCACGTGGGACATGCTGCAGTGGACGCCGCTGGGTTGAGGACGTTATGCTCCAAAGCAGCAATGATTTTCTGGGGGTTTGCATAGATCTGTGAAGTGTCTTCCGTCTGGGTTGGAGAATTAGCTGTAAGGCTGGAGAGGACCTACGGTGCGTGAAGGATAACGCACCTCGTTCTCCTGGAGACGGGTGCCAAGGCGTGCGGCTCCCCGGGGCAATCTGCTAGCAGCTCCCACGTCAGCATCCTTTATGTGTTGATGATCTGTGCCTGAAACTATACCCTGGGAGTGGAAATCCTCCTGAGAAAATATCTTCTGCAGCCCTTCTGGGGCTTATGTAAACGCTATTTAAAATTAGAGACGCTCATTATGTTGGTATGTGCATTTACCTTGACCTCCGACCTTTCTGCCTGCAAGTGTGTAGGGCCCCGCACAGCCGGCAAGTTGGGGAATATGTCAAGTACAAACTGGGGGCATGTTTTCTATTATTAGCTTAAGGTAAAGAACCTGGTACAGTCTCTCCGGGCCGACAGGGAATCGGAAACAAAACTGCAGCCCGTCAAAACCAAGTCTGGCTTCGATCAGGAACGTCAGCGCTGGCTTCTGTTGGGCTGGCTTTGAGGGAAAGGGGAAGAGCAAAGATGTTCTATCACGACTTTTCTTGCATGCTTGCAGAGAAATGAAAGTTTTTTTTTTCCTACACTTTCATCTCTCTGTTGCTATTTACCCACAAAATCCATGCAGTAATTCATATTTTGCCACCTGACATGCCCTCTTGGTTATCGCCCTGGAGTAGCTGCTAAGTGCTGTCCTGGTATTGTAATGGAACAATGTTTCTACTATTTGTTGTGGTAATAGTTGTTAGTGGCAAAGCAATTTGCATGTCACCTGCAGCACAAAGAAATATGACCTCTTTCTTCCC